AATAAAAACTGAATTAACTTTCATATTCTAAATAGTTAGTAATTAATATTTTAGAATGATTTTTGATGAGAAAATAAATAAATACTGAATTAACTTTCATTTTCAAAATAGGCAGTAATTAATATTTTAGAATGATTTTTGATGAGAAAATAAATACTGAATTAACTTTCATATCCAAAATAGGCAGTAATTAAAATTTTTAAATGATTTTTGATAAGAAAATAAAAACTGAATTAACTTTTATATTCAAAATATAAAATAATTAATATTTTGGAATGATTTTTGAAGAGAAAATAAATAAAAACTGAATTAACTTTCATATTCAAATAGTTAGTAATTAATATTTATAAATGATTTTTGATGAGAAAATAAATAAAAACTGAATTAACTTTCATATTCAAAATAAGAAGTAATTAAAAATATACATTTAATTAGCTTAAATACTTAAAATAGGAAATAAATAACAAATATAATCAAATGATTTTTTTTAGTTAATAAATACTCAATAAACTTTTATATACAAAATAACAAGTTGTTAATATTTAAATTTGAAAATAAATAATAAATAAAATTGAATATCGTTATTAAAATTGAGGATTTTACATAAAATAGTGGTATCTTTAATTAATTACTAGAAAATAAATAAAAGAGTTATGATATAATATTTATGTTAATTATAGAAATTTAACTTTTAATATATTAAATTGAATAAATAATCTAAGATAATAATTATAAAAATAGATAAAAATTGTTTTGAAAGGTTTTAAAGTGGATATAAAATAAATAAATAATAAAATGATTAAAAATTTTAATAAATAATAAGTTTAGTATTTTCAATTAATTTAAACTTAAAATGGAATTGTAAATTATTTAAACGATTTTATAAGAAAAATATATAAAAATTAAAATAAAATATAAAAAAATATTGTTTAATAACTTAAATTGAAATATAATTAATGAATATAAATATAAAATATAGTTGGTACTAAATTTTCGAAGAATACAATTAACTAATATAGTCAACTTATATAGAAAGTAAATATAATATTTATTTTCTCATTAAGTATTCAAATAAATTAGGGTACTTTCATAAAAATATTTGTAATATAAGACTATTACATATCTAAAATAAATTAAAAAATTAAAGTAACTTAATTAATATAATTTAAATTATTTTTTTAATTTATCATAAAATATTTCAAAAACTGTCTGACATAAATAATTTATTTTTCTAAAGCATAGAGACTGCACATAAAATTTGTTAGAATCAGGCAACAAAATTCAAGAAACCAGATATACATACTCTTTTTTATTTGTTTTTTTGTTTGCTATCAAGAAACTAATAACTTGAATAATACTGAAATATTAAATATAATATGATTTTGTGATATAAAATTTCATGTTTCTATATTGTAGTATCAATTTTAAATTTTTTTTTTTTTAAACATGAAAAAAAATAGTGTTTTTATATAACTTTTGTAGATCCAGATATATTATTTACTGAAAAATTATGTTTTTAATTATTTAAATTGATAAAATAAAATTTCAAAATTATTTCTTTCTCAAAAATCATATCAGAATATAGTCAAAATTATCAATCAAAAATTTTATTATCAAGTTAGCTAGCACTCTTATAGTTTAAATATAAAAATTTAATAATAAAATTTTACATAAAGAGATTTAATTGAAATTTTTGATTATATAAAAATTATATCACTTGATTAGTTAGAAGATAATAATAAACATTATGAAGAATTTTAGAAAATGAAATAGGGATATTTACATTTTTTAAAAATTTACTTTTTATAATCAATAAAAAATATGGAAAATATATTAATAAGAAATAAAAACTACGAAAACTTAAAACAGTATATATTAAATTTGAAAAGTAAGATTAAAAATTTGACAAAAATAACAAGAAAATTAGTAAAAAGGTCAAAGAACTCACCAAAACAAAAATAGATGGAGAAATATTTTAACTAAAAAATGTTTAGACAATATTTTAATAGAAATATTTAGATTTAGATAATACATTTAAAACTTACTTTTAATAACTCACTCACTCTTTTAAAGTAGATTATAATTAATTATTTGTTATATTCGATATTTAATAAAACTTTTTTAAATGAAAAATAAATGTAAAATTATAATAAGCAGAAATTTAGAAAAATTATAAATATAATCTCAATATGAGAAAAAGTAGCAAAATATAAAGGTAACAATTTGAATAAATAAGAGCTTTTCATTTTTTTCTACGATTAATAAATTTAATTATTTTAAAAATATTTACATAAATATTAAGAAAAATCCATCTAATATTCATTAACTCTATATTGTATATTTTAAGTTTATTTTGTTGATTTAAATTCATATTTAAAAGCTAACAGAGTAATTAACAATATTTTCATTTTAAAGATGAATTTATTAAAAAGATCAAATAATATTGGTTTAAAAAGTAGTAAAATACTAATCTTGTTTTTATTCATAAACTTTTCTCCTTTTAAATTAAAAATTGTAAGAAATTTTATAAACAAGTTTTATTAATTAGATGAACTATGTTATAAATTAGACTTTTGCTTTTCTATTATATTTTATAATTCTAAATTAGATTCCAAATATCATTTACTTATTTTTTTTTTGTGAAATAAAATGGTTATTTTTATTCAGAATATAAAATGCTTAGCCTTTATAGGTGAAATATATATGTAAAACATTTATTTTAAGTAAGAAATATTGTCGTTTTATACTGTTTAATGGTGAAAAATTTGAAGAAGAAGATTTTTCACTTGCTAATTATTTTATAAATGAGTGTTTGATTTGTTTTTTATTTAGTATTCACTAATTTTATAGATGATGTCATCTTATATTGTATGATCATTTTTAATATAATTGAAAAGTAATCAGATTAAATTTAATTGATATACTAATCAAACAAGTGATACGTCATATTCATAAATTCTGTTTTAGAAAATTTTTGTTTTTAAATTTTCTATTCTCAAATTAATTAATTTACACCAGTTTTTAACAAAAAATATTCATTTAAAAAGTTAAGAAATATTGCTTATTGGAATATAATTAATTTATTCAAATAAATTTGTTAGATTAATAAAAATATTGCGATATTAAAATATGGATATTATCAGCTAAAATTTAAACGCATCTTAAGAGGCCAAATAAAAATTGGTATTGCATGTTCAAAACAGGAACAAATTCAAAGAAATGTATAGAAATAAAAGTGTTCAAATGCTTGATAAACCTGAACTAGTCTGTAAATGATATTTAAATCAATAATAATATTTTTATGAGCTCAACTGAGAATTATTTTATCTCTTGAAGCATTCTGATTACCAGTGCTACCTTTATAAATTAAAAAAATTTTAATCATTAAAACAATCAAAAATTAACTAGTTAATCACTTTTTACCAAATTTAACAAATTTTTAACTTGATAAACCAAAGTTTCTGACATCAAAGAACCTAAGTTGAACCCTTAACAAGCTTCAATTTATTAAACTATGAAAATCGAATTAACTGAAAAAGGCTACTCTGATTTTAGGTTTTTAGGGTAAGGAGCACAAGGATTGGTCTTGTTAGCAAAAGATTCTAAAACTTAAATGAGATATGCCATCAAAGGTGTTTAAGTGAGAGATATTTAGGGAAATCTTTATGATGATGTTTAAAATAAAGTGAAATAAGAAATAGATATACTCGAACAATGTAGAGGATCTCCTTATGTAGTCAGCCTTTTAGACTCATTTGAAGGAAAATAGTTCATCTACTTAGTTCTAAATGAGTGTTAGGGTACAAAATACTAATTTATTATCTATTTTATTTTATTGTTAAATAAAAATATATTTTTAAATTAATTATTAAACATTAAAAAAAAAGGAACTCTCACTGAAATCATAGATATGAACTAAAACAAAAGACTGAATGAAATATCAGCAATAAAATATGCTAAAGATATTACTGAAGGCCTTTACTATATTCACTCTAAGAACTGTCTAGTTAATGATCTGAAAATGGACAATATCTTAATTGACTACAATGGAAATGCAATTGTTTGTAAATTATTGACAAACCTAAAAAAGACTTAACACTCTATAAAATTAATATTATAGCTGATTTTGGATTAGCAGATAAACTGACAGATAAATCTGGTTATTCAGCCAATCAATATGTATAAATAAATATTTTCACCCACATTAACAACAAGAAGTTTGATTAATTCAATTAAAAAATTTTAAGTTGGGAAACTTTATTTATCAAGCGCCAGAATGCTATGACCCAACTGACAAAATCATAGGTAAGGTTTATTACGATGAATATTAAAAATTAGGGGTTAAAGTAAAACAAGAACCTAGTAACAGAGTAAATACTTTAGTTAAATAATAATATTAATTATCTTGTTTTTGTAAATTAATTAATTAGAGCGAAGCATGCTCTTTAGGTATTAAATAAAATTAAAAATCTAATGGCTTAATTTAGTTAATTTAAAATAAATAAATAGGATATATAATTTATTCTCTTATCTAAGGAATAGATTTCAACTTAGTATTTAATAAGCATAAGCCACTAAATTATGATAGTGAGTTTTAAAATTTTGTTTATCGCAAATAGCTTAAACAACTTATTGATGAATTAACTTAATTTATCCCAAGAAATAGATTACCCATTAAAGAAGCTTTAATTGTTTTAAAAGGAATTATTTGTTTTGAATTTTAGTTAGATGATATGCTTATTGAGATGATAGATAGAGATACTCAACAGCTCGCTAGTTCACTCGAAAATGAAATTGAGTTTGTTTAGGATTTATCAAATAAGTTTTATCCTATCATGTAAGAAGATTTTTTCAAATATACTATATTTTCTAAGTTTTTTTGAAGTAAAAACTAGCAGAGCTTAATCTAAGAGTTGAAAGAAGAAACTCAAAAAATAGTTTATGTGATTTATCAAAATTTTGCTAAAGTTATTCTTAATTTACTCAAAATAATTAATAAAAAAGGAGGCAAAAATAGCAGATTTATAGTAAGCAAATCTCATGCTTAAAGAAAATATTAGTTAATTAGAAGAAAAAATAAAAGTTTTATTAGAGAAATAAAAAAATTAGGGAGAAATACAAAAAAATTAACCGTACTTACAAATGTTTTCACATAAAGAGCTGAATAAAAATATTATTTAAATAGAACATATTCACTGTTCATCATTTCAACAGAACAAATCATTTTACTTTTTATACTTAAAAGCATGTAAGTTATTTTTCAGCATTCTTTATTATGAAAAAAAACTAACTTTCACTTATAAATAAGTTTTCATTTAAAACTGATTAGAAAATAATATCTTTCAATTATTTTTATTTTTTTTATTTTAAATTCATCTTTAAATAACAAGTACCTTACTTTAATAATATTTTTCCTTTTTTTAATTAATTCAAATTTATTTTAGTATACAAAAAAATAAGTAGCTTTTTTTAACTAATTTATATTTAATACCGAATCTTTTGTTTTTATATTAATAGGAAGTAAATAAATTCTAATATCAAGATTATTAATTAACTTTCATATTATTTTAGAGGGTCACATTTTTTATCATCACTAACTATTACTCAATTTAAATCTTTCACCAAAATAGATTGTAATCTCTCATATATTCCTTAAAATAACATACTAAGTCTACTTATATTTTCAAAATAGGATGTAAACTTTATTATCTCAAATTTATGAATTTATTATCTAAATAAAAACAGGTAATCAATTATTAAATAATTTTTGATGTGAAAATAATTGTTTAATTATCTTTTATATTCAAAAAAGCTAGTAAAAAATTTTAGAATGATTTTTGATGAGAAAATAATAGCTGAATTATCCTTAATATTCAAAATAGTTAGTAATCAATTAATATTTTAGAATGATTTTTAATGAGAAAATAAATGTTGAATTAACTTTCGTATTCTAAATAGCAAGTAATTAATATTTTAGAATGATTATTAATGAGAAAATAAATACTGAATTAACTATCATATTCAAAATAGGTTGTAATAAATATTTTAGAATGATTTTTTGATGTGAAAACAAACACTTACTTAATTAATTTTCATATCAAAATAGCGAGTAATTACTTTTTTATAATAATTTTTGATAAGATAAATGCTAATTTAATTTTGATAATCAAAATAGCTAGTAATAATTAATATTTAATAATTATTTTTTGATGGGAAAATAAATGCTGAGTTAACTTTCATATTCAAAATAGAATGTAATCAACTATTTTAGAATAATGCTAAATTAATTTTCATATCGAAAATAGATAGTAATTAATATTTTAGAATGATTTAAATGAGAAAAAATTCTGAATTAACTTTCTTAAAAGATAGTAATTAAAATTT